TTTTTATATACTGGTGTGATTGTGGCGAGTTTGAGAGAGTCAGGAAAAACACCTTGAGCTAGAACAGTTCAGAATGTGCGCCAGAGGCTTAGAAATATACTTTACAGCATCAATTACAAGTTTAGGATGCACATGATCATGTCCCATTGCTTTGTTGGGGTCTAATCGGTAAATAAATTTCATAATATCCCGTTCTGTGACTGCTTGGAGAAAAAAAGACGACGAACTGCGTTTGACTTTGATCTTAGTTTGATATACACTATGGAAACTGCCTGTAATCTACTTGAACGATGAACAGATAAGTGCTTACTTATACGATCTCACGTACGCCACTACTAAAACGTTATACCCCAAATGTAACCCCGTATCGAATTACCATTTATAGACAGGAATGGCCAATCCAATCACATTCAGCGAAGTGACGACCTTCTTAACCTTAGACGTGAACGAAGAAAACCTACTACAATGGGCCTAGTATCACCTGAAACAAGGAGGCTGACAGTCATTTTGCTGTCTTAGACGGAGGGGCGTCAGAGCTCGTCTGAAGTCAAATCTGTTTCTTCACAACCTCTCTACGTTTACATATGATATTCTGTTGTTTTTCTGACCGTAGTTTTCTTTCCATATTATTAGATCTCCAAGTACGCCCTTCTCATAAGCCCATGTATACAGCTCTATGCAGCACATATAAAGTTGAAACTTGTATTTGAGTTATTTGTGTAATCTTAACATATATTTACCATGGCATACAAATGTGGCAGTGTAAACAACCAGACGCACCGATCTGTAATGAACTTGGTCACATGCGATATCAATAAGGTCAATTGAAGGTGTGCAATTGGTCACTATGCATTACAACGACGAACAGTACAGCCAGTATAAAACGGTTCTCCAGTTCATGGTTTTGATATCAATCTGTCAAAATGTAAGTAATATACACGATGGCATTTAGAGATGGCGAGGTCTTATACCATCTTACATTATTTCGGTATAGTATGTGTGAATAAGCTAATATGTTGGTGTTGTGGCGTACTGTCCCGCAGCGACTTTAAGTTACTGCGTCTGGCTGTTCATGAGAGCATTATAGAAATGTTTACTCCAACAGACATAAAGCTCTAGTGACTCGAAGAGCAAAGCAAGGTGCTCTCTGAGACTCACTAAAACTGTATATTCACTGCTTTTAGGTATTATTAATTCAAATAATGCAGGTCATCCTCAGCTGAATGCATGTATGTACACCAATCTTTAAGTTGAAAGAGTTCAAGAGCTGTGAGTGATTGAGATGTTTTATCACTGATTGCTATAATGTGTTCCAACTGTGCAAACTATTTTCACCTAGGATCTGGGCGCGAAAAACACATCTTTGTTTCCAAACCTGCCGACGCTCGAGTTTCAAATGAATTGCGCAACTCAGATCAAAGGTTTCAAAGTAGGCAAACCGGGAACGCCAATTCGCTTCTAAATGTTTGTTTTCTTTTAAATAATGTAATCAATTAGTGAACAATATCGTAGTAAACTCGTCATTATTTGTTAAATATTGCCGAGTATCGTGTTCCAATTGACAAGTAATACTCTAAAGACGAAATACAGAACTAAGGTTTCCAGATAGAGGAAAGTGTTAGAAAGTGTCATGTGGACATTAGAATATTTTTACCTGTAATATGCGAATCTGATTGGCTGTCTTGAGGACATGAGGCATACTTGACATATCGCTAACATATACTGTGAAGCTCGAATACTGTGTTGTACAGTTTCGTCGGTCATTTGTTCTGTGTACAGACTAATGCCATGTCTCCTGAAGGGCAAATATTATGACATTCTTTAACGTTTTTTGGATCATCTCAGAGATGGGTACATACAACCCGAGTTTTTCAGCGGGGTAGCAGAGTGAAATTATAGCGCCTGAAGAAGTAGTTCTTGGTATAGCGACTATAGACGTAGTCTACGATATTGCGACTGGACAGTGATAGCCACGGTAGTTTCAAAGTTAAACTTACTGTTACCTTGACTATCGCTCTACCAATGAAGATTAAAAAGCTTAAATTAGTTTAATTGTTCAGAAGTATTCTCTCCTGACATGCATCCGCCATATCTATGAAATATAATATTTATTATTGTTTTCAGATTTGAATCAGAATCATGATTACTTATATCCTGCATAATATCTTTGATATTCTTAACACTCCAACTAATGTTATTTTACTGTTGTTGGTGTTTATCATAACATATGGATTGTTTAGTTTACGTAAACCGTCTGGGTTTCCACCTGGACCAATGGGATATCCATTTATTGGCTCTATGATAGGTGAGTATATCCCAAGTAATCAAAACACCATTGAACGCCACATAAGACGTGATGTAGTTTTTTAATATCATGATTTGACGTCATGAGTTGAAAGGTCGTGAGGATACTTATACGTACCCAAATATGAAATCGTTTTTTGTTGTTGAAATCATTTCAGTATCAGCGCCACCAACCGACTGAAGTTGTTTAACTTCATGACGTCATTTCTCCTGCTTGCCTGAAAGAGGGTAAATTTACTCATTTTAGGGTGTTTTACACTGTATGTCATTCTAGTGTTTCCAGATTTATTTATTTCAATCGAAACCAAATGTTGGAAATAGTGTTAGGTGTATGGGTATATATAAACACATGTAACTACAACTACATTTCATGGGACAAGATCGTATCAGTATATGTGGTTTAGCGTAGTTAGCTTGTTGCAGAGTTGTTTTATGAATGCCTTTCACCTGGTTCTTTGCGAGCCCACTCTGCCTAATAAAATATAACTAGTATTCGAGATTCTATGCTCAAAATATATTAGCCAACTGGAAGATGATTGTTGATATTCCCGTCAGTGGTTTCGTATGACCATTATTATATATTATGTTACATACAATAACGACACGATTATAATAATATACATGGTTCAATCGTTTCATTTATTAGATTTGATGAACGATCCCCACCTAACTCTTGTAAACTATGGTAAGAAATATGGAGATGTATTTACAATGAAGATTGGCAGTCAGCCTGTGATTGTACTCAACTCCATAGATGTTATTAAAGAAGCATTGGTGAAGAAACAGAATGATTTTGCTGGGAGACCATATTTTTATTCATGTAAGTCAATAAACTGAATCACTTTAATGGCATTAATTAAACGCATTAAATCAACAAAGCGTTGTTCTGCAATAAACCAATAAGGCGATCCTTTTCACCTTTCGCTGATTTTTAAATATTTAGTTTTTTTTAATCAATCACTGGACTCCATAATTAGGATTTGGTCACACGAGGAGCTTCGTCGCGTAGATCAGGGGATTAACAGCTCCCAAATTAACTAACCAGGGCAAATAATGTTCACCGTTGTGATTTAGTGTGTGTGCTCATATGAGACATTCATCTATACTTTAGCGTAGGCACGAGCAGACAAATGTGTCCTTCTAAACGCAAAATCCACGATTCTGCAATACATTAAACACGCCATGGGTCGTTGACTCGAGTCAAACTCAAATGTGGTGTCCTATGACCTTCTGTTGTAACCATGGCATTGATGGTGTGGACAAGTAATCCACGTTAGCAAACAAGTATAACCAGATTTACATTACTCCTGGTATAACCAAATGCAGGCAAAGAAACAAGGACCTTATATCTATATATCTGCTTTGAACCTTGTCGTTACCACACGGACAGGGAAATTGGTTAGTATAGCACAGATGTTACGAGTAAGTCGCACCAGCTAACGTTACTTTTTTCTAATTTCTGAGAATAATAGAAAGGAATACAATAAAAAAAAACAAAAAATAAAAAAAAACATTTGTTGGGTTTCCTGGCGGATTTACGTTTTTAAATTCATATTTTTATTTTAAAAAATAGGTTATTTATTTCGTAAGCAATATCAACTTTATTCTTAATTGTAGAGCAATATAATATAGAAAAATATACGGCAGTACAGGGCTTTCAGAAAAGGCATTTAGAAAATTTACCGGGTATAAACATTCATAAACCGCGGATGAATATGCACTCCTGAATGGGACAACCCAGTCTTTTTGTGTCTGCACAGGCGTGTTGATCAGAATCTGATTGGCTTTGCGGTACATGTGTAGAATATCGACAGTCGTCTTGACTACGGAATACTCGTTTCTGTCAGAGCACCGAAATTGCTGTTTCAGTACCGGACGTACAGAACGTTGCGTACGGGAGATACGGAACGCCTACGGCACTCGATTTTCGTGCCTTTAGTACTCAATCTGCCCTTACGATACTCTGACGGAAACGAGCATTCCGTAGGCGATACGACTATGGACAGCCTACACCCTGCGATTTATAATAGTCAATCCAGTTGTCTCAATTGAATGAAACGTTCAGTAAATAAAATTCTTATAACATATATAAACGGTGTTTCCTAAAGCACTGTAATGGCGAACAAACTGTTTTTGGCGATTTCTCTAATTTAAATTCGTTTTTTTTTCTCTGGTTAGGGAAAAAATAGTGCAGAACCGTGGCTAAATAATAAAAAAATTGTCGTATACGCCAAATAACGTAATAATGAGTGGTTTCTTATTATAGAAAATGCGGATAGTAATAATTTGAAGACGTAAGTCACGTTACTCATAAAGACATGTCAACAGTCCCGGAACAGCAGTGAGGGTGTGATTCTCGGCTCGAACCGAGTTTCAGCTCTGATGGCAAAAGTCGTATGAATTTTCGATATGTTTCGGCACGAAGCAGTTATAGACGAGTTTCGATGTATAGCGCCATCAGCCTGTTTCCGTGCGATAATTGGGAGGGGGGGGGCGTGATTTCAAGCTCGCGCAATTTATTCGAAGGTTTTTCTTGTCCCGGGCTATCGAACGCTTACGCATCAAAATCAACCCAAAATTAAATTGGATTGTTTTTACATACACCAGAGCGCAACGTTTCCAAGTTTATCGTGGAATTCCAAATTTGGGTTTAATTAAAAATTCTCATGAACATTATTGCAGTATCAAGTCTGATGGCAGAAGAGAGTCAAAACATCATATTTGGTGACTTCACTACGAAGTGGAAACTGCAGCGAAAAATAGGACATCAAGCCATTAGGTGAGTTTATGTAATTTGTATCCTTCATTGTTTGTATTAATATATATTTAATTATGCTCGCGTGATTTACAGTATGTTGATCACTCACCATTAACTCGAAGTGTACGAGACCAGTAGTATTTTGATTTATTCTCGTCTGAATCTGTTCATAAATGCTTGAAGCATATTTCATTGACTGACTTACATGGTTGACATAAATAAAGAATATCTCATGAGCGACCTTATATTATCAGATTTATTAAATGAGTGTGGTAATTTCCATTTTTAGTATTCATGGTTTAGTACGAACTGCTAAGCTAAGGTCTGACCTCAAAGACAGCCCTGCCCACCAGAACAGTCAATTGGCGGAGGAAATGCAAATAACTACAGGCAACGCCATTGACAGAACGAGAAGGAAATAATTTAAAATTACTACACGACTTTATTAAATCTGGTATTGTCGGTTCACGATTTCAATAACTTGTTTATTCCCTGTATCTAAAACTAACGCAGTTATCGCAATTTGTAAGCGCGTATTCAAGACATGTAGAGCGTTACATATACATATACTGTGCATAATACTGATATTTTTGAAACTATCGCTATAGTTACGATTCAGGGATGCATTGGTAACAGAATTACTAATTGTTAAGCCAATTCAAAACGTGGCCGTTACAAAATCCGTGACAAATTTCCACTCAACTTTATGTTCAGTATAGGATAATTGATGTCTCACACGTATGTGGCTTTATATCACATTTGCACACTGATTTATTACACTGAACTGCCATGATATAAGGGATAAACACCTCTGAAGTGATTAAATATTGCCTTGCTAACTCCAATGTACTGCTCCGGCATCCATTGCAAGTCCATGCCCATGCCCATTTTTTCATTTTAGAAATTATGCCAGCGGAGAAAATCTAGAATCTCTCATACGATGTGACGCCTTTCCTAGTTTCCAGAGAGCTATCGCTAAAATCAATGGAAAACCATTCACCCCGAAAACATTAATGTACCTGCTTGTGGGAAATATCATTGCTTCCATGTGTTTTGGAAAAAAGTAAGTATGTGACTAACAGATAATCACACCATTGTGTTGTAGTAGTTTGATTATGTTGCTCCTCCCACCATTTGTTGTCTTCACTTTTGTAAACCCGCAAAAACACAGTGATACAATAACAATTATATACGACTTCATGTGTGGTGTTGGAATCACCGGTAACACCGGTAATGCTGTGTCAACATAGGTATTCACAGAATATGTATCTATCAGACCCTTGGTTGAATCTTTGAACGTAAAATATGTAATATGTGTTAAATTTCACTACTAACGTATGCCGTTTGATGACAGGTATGAATATGAAGACCCCGAACTTCTAAAGTTTATGGGAGTCTTGAAAGATGTGAATACATCATTCGGAAATGGACTAGCAGCTGACTATGTCCCTCTGTTCCGTTATATACCTACTCCCGGTCACATTGCAGTTAAGAAACATTTGAAAGAATGGTTAAACGTAATTCAACATCAGATAAATGAACATAAAGACAAGTTTGAAAAAGGTAGCAAATTAAGCGGTGAAGGTATTTCTGGTTTCATGAATGGAATTGAACTTATTCCGTTATATTTCCCATTCACTTTGAGTAATCCGGTCACCGGTAATTAATTGCCGCATTTTCAATCATTTTCTTTTTCTTTATTTATTTGCAAACTGTGTGCTCTAAATTAACATTTTGGTTCTTAAAATTCTTCTGTAGTCGATGAGCTGACTGGCGAATAGATGCACTTATTTCTAGAAATACTATCACTAAAGTATTACACTACAAACGATTTTCATACCATTTTGTTTTACTGTTACACTATACACAGGTAATAAGAAAGTGAAAAGTCTCATCGATGACATCTTATCAATTCAGCGTAAAGCAGAGTTGGCTGGAGACGACCAGGCCAAGCAACTTACAGACGTCAATCTACGCCAGACTGTGTCTGATATATTCGCAGGTATGTCTAATAACAATGTCGATACTAATAACTCAGCTATATGTAAGATCACAGCACTAAGCACACATTTTATTAAGTTCTGGGGCAATTACGAAAAACAGAACTTGTACTTATAGATGAAAGATGTGATTCATTATGTGTCAGACAGACATGCAGAAGTTTGAAAACAGTTGGTGAAATGAGAAACAATTACAATGTTTGAAATTATATAGTTGTCTTAGTCATAATCCTGAAAATATGGTTAGCGTGGTAATTTTCTAAATCCATGGATGTCGTGAAATGGAATACAAGTCTACAGTGTGCATCAAGCCCACATACACTATACGTTCTCGTGGCCGTTCGGTATATGCGACCGCAAAATCTGCTTTTGTTTAAAAAAAAGACTGAATAAATTAAACAAAATGACCCTACTGGCGTTCAAGTACAATTATTTAACACGGTTTCAAACATTTTCGGTTGGTGTTTTTAAATAAATTCAGCGTATCAGTATTTAGGAGCTGGCTCAGTTGTTAAAACATATAACCAATAGCTTCCTTGAATAACCTATTTCAACATGTAAGCCGCTAAGTGAAATGTGCGATCATTCATTCAAACTATTACAACTAACCCACTTGTTATGAATTTTAATTTTACAATGTGGTGTATTAAACAGTTTTGGTTTAGTGACGTCAAGAAACATACGTAACAATACAGCGCACTAATACGGTGATTAATATGTAATTTTTCTAGCGGGACTAGACACCACGATCAACACCTTAGATTGGGCTGTTGCTTACCTAACGTACTACCCTGACGTGCAGTCCAAGGTACAGAGAGAAATCGATGACGTCATTGGTGATGGTCGTCTGCCGCTGTTATCTGATAAAGGAAAACTACCATATTGTGAAGCCGTTATACACGAGGTCATGCGAATAAGAACAATTGTCCCTTTTGCCTTACCCCATACTACTACTGTCGATACGTCTGTAGGTATGTATTGCTTTGCACTACGTGCAAATATAAATTAGTCTTTTCAATTCATGTTCCAGGGAACAAGCCATGCTTAGTATGTATATTTCGGATAATACGGCCTACAAATTAGTTAGTAAATTACAACATTAGTTTCTCGATTGAGCTGAAGGTTACAGGTTGACACCCAAGTTATATATTCACACATTTTAACAGACATTTGTTAGTGCAGATATCACTCCATTGTACCGATATACATGTATATGATTACGTCGTGGCAAGGCGCGTATATTTCTATTCTGCGGTGAAATGTGTGACAGGAGGTTATTTCGCACACTGCTCACAAACTAGATTGGTGTATGGTATTTACTTACAGTAGAAGTATGCTGAGTATAATAGCATAATAATTGAGAAGACATTCAGAGAAGCACCAATTATATTGTGATTTAAGATGCAATATGAACGAAAAAATGTAATATTGCAACATAAGAACCGAACTGGATTTGGATTTAACGGAAAATAAAAATATTGATTTTGTAGCGCAATGTATCGTGAAAAATGAAAACCAACAATGTGCATGTACAGTGATTGTTTTTGTACATTTAAACACAATCAAGTCACATGTGTATTAAAAAAAAACGCTCTGCTTCATTAAACGAATAATTAGATGTTTACGACAGGAATGTTTTATTTTTTATTAAAATGTTGTGTCACAAATATATATTGAAGGGCGGTGGTCGTTGCGTCGCGCATGTACATTTTAGTTGATAAACATTGATTTTGCCACAATCAAATGTGCTTTTCTAAAAGAATCACTGTTGCGAGTTTTGACTCGGGCGCCTTTTGTGCTCATAACCGCCGGTGACTCATTCGATATCTTCCAATCACCAAAGAAATACCTAATTAAAGCTTGGTAGTCTCTAAATTAGTACTTGTTGGTCTGCAACATTCAAAGCAGCCATCTTTGTATATATGAAACCCATATCTCGTGCATGCGTGGCGCGACGACTACCGCCCTTTAACATACGTTTTCGCCCTTAAATGTAACATTAATCCCACACCCCAGCAATAAAATATTCTTATGATGTATAAGTCAATGCAAGAAACTTCATAATATGAGAATACACTGAATGCGTATAATAACTGCTGATCACACGTTGAACTGCATCTTTTCGCCGATATCCATATCAACTCTAATTTTGCCTTTATGGTTGCGTAGTTATGACTGGAAATTGGTTTGGTAACACTGATTTATGAACTATGAAATCTAACTAGGTCTTATGTGTCACATGGGTAATGTACATAAATAGAAACATACATATTGTGAACATTTACCTGGATTCGTGCACGCATTCATTTGCACCTCTATCATGCCATGCTCAATTACATTCAAAATTCACACATAAATCAATGTTATATCACTCAAGTTATTGTTTCATGTTCACTATGGTCGAATGGCAGCCATTTCACTGCAAACAATTCAAAATCAAGCATTTCTGCCATTCCGTATCCGGAACTCAATCGTGCATAGACATTTCAGTCATACTTGAATGTCACATGTCACGCGTTTGTACTTGATCAAGATCGATTGATGTTTAGCCGTTCTAATCCTAAAAATACATAACTTATGTTATGTACAGAGTAATGAAAGTAATTACACGTGTAAATTGTCATGCATCTTTTAGTCATGATGGTTATTACAGACAGAGATATTGTATCATTAGTCATGTCACTGTCATTACATTACTAATGTAATCTAACGTCATACTAATCACTGCATTTCAATTGAAAAATTTAAATAGGTAATTTCGTCAGCAATTGCATGAAATTGTTTCTTTTCATAATCTACCTTACTCTTTAGAATGTATTGTGTGCAGCTTATTATAGATCACTTTAAAAAAAAACATGGGGACTGTGTCATTTTTAATATAATACAGGTGGGTATGATGAAC